ATCAGAAGAGAGGAAAAGCTTGCTGATGAGGCAACACACGTCATCAAAAATTATGATTTCTGGTAGTCTATTCAGTGCAGGACTAGAGCTCTAAAAAAGCTGAGCAAATGCGCTATACACACTGACTGTGATGGGTGATCTGGATGTTTCTTTTCATTGGACACTCCTCTGCCCTCCACAAAATCTCTTTAAACCCTCTCTTCTGGGCTTTCAGTCCTCTCCAGAGGATGCTGCTCCAGCCTCATGCAGTGGCGTGGTCCGCGGAGAGTTGTGCTGCTAACTCAGATACTGAGCCTTTCTGTTAGTTTGGATCCATCAGTAGCCCTGAGGGAGATAGATGGCAGTCTGTCCTCTTGTGCAATTTGCAACTGTGGAAGCCCACTGAAGGGCCAACTGTGAGTCAATTCCAACTCAGTGGCAATGAGTTTGAATTTTTTATTGTTGTTGTTAATTGACATCAAGTCTCCTGCATGTCTTAGTGACCCCACGTACAACAGCTCTGAGCTCTGCTCTATCTTGAACCAATTTTATTGTCTCCAACACACTTAACCCCATTACCCCAGTCACGGAGTCAGTCCATCTCACCAAGGTCTTCCTCTCTTGCACTATACCTCTACCCTTCTAAGCTTGATGTTCTTCTCCAAGGACTGGTCTCTCCTTGCAACATGCCCAAAATATGTCAGATGGAGCTTCAAAATCCTTCCCTCCAAAGAACAGCTTGGTTTCATTCTCTCCAGGACAAACCTGTTTGTTTTCTTAGCAGTCCATGATATGTTCAATACTTTTCTCCAGAACCACAGCTCAAAAGCATCAAGTCTTCTTCTATCATCCTTAGTCACTGTCCAGCTCTCTAATGCATAGAAGGTAATTGCAAAACCACAGCTTGGATTGGACACACCGATCTCTCTAGACTGACGTCATTGTTCTTCAGTACTCTGAAGAGGTCTCTGACAACAGATTGTCCCAATGTAATTTGTCTTTTGATTTGCTGACTGCAGGTGTCGAGAGTGTTGATTGTAGAACCAAGCAAGTTGAAATTATTAACAATCTCAATGTCTTCTCCATCTATCATGATGGACCAGTGGTGAGAATCTTTGTTTTCTTGATGTTGAACTTCAATCTATATTGAAGGCTTCAGTCCTTGACCTTCTGCAAAAATGAGTTTTATGTATGGAGGTATATATTGGAGACCGAATGCCTTGGAAATCAGTGAGAGAGAGAATTTTAAAAAATTCAAGATGTAGTATTCTTTTTTTCATTGCTCTATTTGTATTGAGGGAGCTCTGATGGCTTAGTGGTAAGGAGTTAGATTGCAAAGGCACAGGATTTGAACCCACTAGCTGCTCTGCAGGAGAAAGATGGGCAGTCTCTTCCTGTGTGATTCTCAGCCTCTGAAAACCTGCTGGAGGATCAGCTTTGAGTTGGTTCCACTTGATGGTAGACACATACGTATATGTATAGTATATGTGCGTGTATACATATATATGAAATACAAAATATATATATGTGTATATATATACA